ACGAGGCATTGTTTGCAAAGGCAATAGAGTGCACGGTATTTTTTTAAACACCGTTGCATGTTGTACAGTTGTACGTTATGCCTTGTTAATGAATGCGTGGAAATAAAATTCACACAGTCACGCATACGATGACATCTGGTCTCCGTTGGTGAAATTAACCAAGCAGTGGAAACTCCACATTAACAAAATCGCGGGGGACAACTGCTCCATCACATGGCCACTGCCCGCTGAGTGGTCCCAATTTTACCAACGCCAGATTAAAAATGGACCAGGTCGACCACCAAATGAGACTGAAGCACAAAGTGCACCGATTGTGCTTCACATGCAGCACCACTTGCCTGGATTTTACATCTGTAACACTGAACTTCAGAGGGAATGCATCTGTAGCAAACCCGCTTTTTGGTTCTCTGCGCGCTTCTGTAGGGCTGTCTTAGTTGCTCGACCGTGATCCCTCCGCCTTGCGCTCATCCCCTCTCCAGCCATTCATTACCTCGTCCTTGTTTTTGGTGCGATGTGCCTGTTGTACATTTTGTTAATGTTGTCAATTTGTCTGTACCTCTGACGGGTTCTGTTCCGTTGTTGCCCATTCAGTATCACTTTGATGTCGTTGCTCTTGTTCTGTGCCGATACGCCACACCACTCCCTTGTAAGCTATCTTGTTGAATGGCGAAACAGGATTTGCCGCGCAACAAATTGAATTGAATGGAAGTGGATTATTACATTGCAGGATCACAAGAGATGGAGATGGCTATAGAAGGCATTCGTCCAACAGTGGATAGATCATGGCTGATGGCGATGATTATCAATTTGGCCCAGGGCATACATGAGTGCTTGGAGTCAATGCTTGCATTAAAGAAAAAAATATGATAATTGGTTTTTTACCCTTCTATCTGGCAACAAAACTGACACCTTTTTTCTTCTTGGTTCTTTCGGTAAAGTCACGTAGAAGGGAAGTAATAAAATAATAAAAATAAAACATAATAAAATAAAATAATTCTCATAATTCTCACGACGTTTCGGCTACAACGCAAGCAGCCGTCTTCAGGTGAGCCGAAACGTCGTGAGAATTATTTTATTTTATTATGTTTTATTTTTATTATTTTATTACTTCCCTTCTACGTGACTTTACCGAAAGAACCAAGAAGATGAATCCCTGCAGTCACGAAAGCTTTAAATCGAAATTTGACACCTTTTTTACAAGGAGGCATGTTTACATAGACCACAATACCTGCAGTCATAATGCAAACAAAAAACATAACTCTGATAATGTGAGGTTCCAATGGTGTAAATGCTTACCCCGAGCTCTCATACTCTGATGGTGCATTGTCTTTGAGTTGTGCACCTTTTGGCGTCATCTGGTCCAACCCATGTGAGACTAGGCTCTAAGGAAAGCTGTCTCGGGTGTGGACCAATCAACTTCAAGGACAGTGCACATTATCAGAGTTATGTTTTTTGTTTGCATTATGACTGCAGGTATTGTGGTCTATGTAAACATGACTCCTTGTAAAAAAGTGTCAGTTTTGTTGCCAGATAGAAGGGTAAAAAACCAATTATCATATTTTTTACTGGCAAATGAGGTTCCATTGGTGTAAATCCAAAGATTCTTGTTACTGCTCGCCTGTAAGTTGAAGAAGAATCCTCACAATTAACTTTAGCAATTAGATACCACGACGTTTCATTTGAAACTACATCAAGCATCATCAGGTCAATATTCTGGAAGTCAGAATAACAATGTAACCTGACGCAGCTTCTTAAATACGTGTAATGACCTCACAACAGGATCGAATTAGATTTAAACGAGATATTCACCATGACAAATTAATATACATTTTATTATAAATTATCTGAGCCATTCATGAACATTTTCTATGCATTATTCATTACAACTACTCATGAATACACTATCTTGTAGCAGAATCGCATTATTATGTAAAGTGAACCCTAAAACTTCGTACATTTGACAATTAATTTGTTTGTCTCTATCGGGTGGTGGAGGGTTCCTATCGTCACAAATTTGGCCTCAACAAAGCGTCAATTAGGAATCGTGATACTGGCTGCGAAAAAAAACAACTACGTACTTGTGTTCACTTACCCCAGGGGGATATATGGCTGAGTTGAGCCCCGGCCGGGAAACGAACTCCCAACCTTCCAATTTGGAAGAGGAGCGCTCTAGCCACAATGCCACGTGACCAGTATAATAATACCAGTACAGTATGATGTCCCTTGTGTGTCTCGAGAAGCCGGAGTGAATTTCAAAGACTTTCCAGAAGGGTACTGCTTGAAATAGGGGAAGAAACTGGATTTAGTTTTAAAAAAAAAATCTCTGCGTGGATATTGATACTAGAAATTATTTGTGTAATAATGCATTGAATGATCAATTGCTATAAAGTCAAAATATCATAAAGACATGGAATTGTGTAATAAGTGTGTTTTTATTTATATATCCTATGCCATGGGTTCCCGTGACACCTGCTGCCAATATGTAGAACAAAATCATCCAATCTTAAAATCTGATTGCAAGGCCGAATGGCGACACAATTCATCGAACCAGCAGTTTAAGGGTGAATTATTACACTGCTAGCAGAAGCTTGATATCGTGTGGGTAATGTAACAACAACAAAATGAATTGGTAACGACATTGTTAAAACAATAATGAAACTTTTACCCTTTATCAGCGAACCAGAACTGATGTGCTGTGACGGTTCCACCTGAAGACGGAAGCTTGTGTTGCCTCCGAAACGTCGTGATTTTTATTTTATTTTTATTTTACTTTTATTCATTTTAATTTTTTACCTACGTGACTTTACCGAAAAAACCTAAGAACAGAACTGACGTGTTGGCTCGGTGCCACTGGTGGCCATTTCACCTTTCCCTGGGCTTCCAAAGGTGTGCACGCTTTTACGCGGCGCATTAATAAAACAAATTCCGCGTAGAATGTATAACCGGTTTAAAAAAATTCTCGCTGCAGTTCTGTAAAAGTGAGATTCTTTCCTGCAGCTTTCCCGTGAATCGATTCCAGCAGCCAGACTTAGCTGCGTGTGTTTATTGAGGTGTCCCCGGCGCATTGAATGTGTTCTTTGTGATGCATTATGAATGCATAGCCTTTCACGTACTCCGGGGTTGGAGGGATGATATTTCTTGCGCAGTTATACGCTGTCAACCGGTGGAAATTTTACTTTTTTGAAAGTGTTTGACTGTTTGCGCAAAAGAGCGGTGGTTTATCGTTATGATCGGCGCAGAGTTCAGAATGTAAAAGCTTTACAATGATGACGCCGTCACGCCCGGTATCGTTCGCCCAGTGAAAAGAAAGCAGTGTGGTGTCCCCCCCCCCCCTTCAGATTAATTTCCTCGCTGGCATCGCACCACCCGAGCTCCCTCCGAGGCGTCGCGCCCCTCTAGTGGCCGTGCAAACAAACGCGTGGGCAGCGGAGGCGCGCATGCCCGATCCACGGTGCGACTGCTTAATTGGAAACGCGCTCTGTCTCTCTCCTCCAACTCCCACGCTGCAGGGAGTGACGGCGTGACGTGGCTACAGCCCAACTCCTCCCTGCCTTTCTCTAGCAGTGCCTCCTGGGGGGGAGGGAGGCTTGAGGTGCAAAAAAATGTCCTGTGTTCTAGTTGTGAAAACATAGGCCCATGCCCAAATTGCGTAGATACCTGTGCGTTGTTAACCGTGGATTACGTGTGCCAATTCACAGGGCTACACCAAATAAATGAAACTGAAAAAAAACTGGGAAAAAATGCGCAGTTATTGTGTGATTACTTGGTGTGCTTATATGCACGCGTGTATACAGTGAGCCTTTCATGGTTTACCATTCATGTTACTGTGAATGGCTGTTATTATATTAAGTCTTCGATTTATTCCTGTCTCATGTCTTTCATCAACCAAAATCCGTGGTTGCCTGCGACTCAAAGATTTGGCGTGGGTTATTTTTTCTGGAGCATCTCATAATCCGTAGAATACCATGGTGGTACAGCTTTCACTTTCGGCTTTTGCGTAAAAAAAAAATTAACAATAAAAAAGTCAGCATCTTGGCCACGTGGAAAAGACTTTTGAGTGCGATTTCTACCTCAGAGCACCCTGACCCACAATTCCCTGTATGGCTCGGTATGGTGCATTGCTTATCCTGAGTGTTTGCTTTTCTCAAAAACAGCCCTGCACAGCTTCCACACTCAAACCCAGCTGTCATTGCCACTTTGCTTTCTGGCTATGGAGAATAACCATGCTAACCCCATTGTAACCAATCACAGTACTCGTCGGACCCCATGTGACTTAAAGGCAATCAGACTCACACTTATAAGGACGCGCCGATTGAATGGCGGACTCGGAGATGAATATGACTAGAGAAAAATAAAACAAATATTTATGAAGTAATAAAAACAATGCACAGACTGGTATCAATACACTGCTGGATAATGGATGATGGCCTGCACGTGGTGGCAGTCATGGAGGATGAGTGACCGTACTTCACTGCGTGGACAGTGTGGGCTGGATGAAGGAGGGAGGGGGCCCGAGGTCCTGACAGATACAGCTCGCCACGAGTGTTAGCTGAGGTGGGGGAATTTAACTCAGGTGGTCGAGTTGGAAAGGCAGCGTGTTTACAACTGCACCACAGCTGCATCCGTCATACTAAGATTAACCCTTTCCCATACCGAGACGTCTGCAAGTCACAGGGTGAGTGTCCTGTTCACCTCTGAATCTCGGAACACACAAGCGGTTCAGCGTTAATAATATTTAAAGAGACGTAGCACCGTTGTTTTAAAGACATTGTACTCGCCGCAGAGAACTGTTGTGACACGACCGCACTCTATGATAGCTGGCGGCAAATTGTGCCACATGCCCTCCTGCATGGCCTTGTGGGAGCCTTGGTACTGATAAAAATTATTTTATTTTAGTTTTTATTCCTGTTTCATACACGAACGTCATCGGAACGGAATACGTCATCGGAACGGGACAGGGTTCAGTGTTGACCGCGGCGTGTGTGCCCGCGTTGTTACAGACTGGGCACGCTGGAGCCCGGCGACCGCCTCCTGGCCATCAACCACACGCGCCTGGAAACCTCCTCGGTGGATGAGACTGTCCACATCCTGCAGCAGAGCGACGACTTCGTCAAGCTCAAAGTCCGCAAGGATGAAGACAACTCTGGTGAGGAGAGGGTTCGGGCTCTGGGGGGTGGGGGGTAGGTGGCGTGGGCGAAACCAAATCCGCACGCGCATTGCAGTACGGAGAGGAATCCACCGGGCAACGCCGCACGATCAGCCAGCTGCAGCCATTACAGGGCGCCATGGTGGCGAGATGTAAACTACCTCGCCTGGTATACAGGAAGTCGTGGGTTCGAACTCGACCATGACACCTGCTGTATATTTGGAGTTTTCTCCGAATCCTCCGATTTTTTCCTCCACATTTAGAAACATGCGTTTCGAATATTTGTCTGCAATAAATTTTCCACGTGATCATAAGCCACTTTTTTGAGCAATTATTTGTGGCCAGGTCACTTATAAAAAAATATCTATGTTGCTCAGTGGGCCTTGCCTGGTAAAATAAAAAATAGTTTAGTTTAGTTCCGTTTGAGTCTTTGCTGCAGGTTCGGTCATCTAGCCGAACCGCTTTGGCACAGGCTCCTGTACCAGCGTGGTTAGGACACTGACAGAACTGGTCATGACATTTGTGAGCTGACCTCCATTGTCTGAGTCGACTCGGATCATTTCTCTGCCATCAGAATAAGGAGCACCACCCCGTGGACCCCACTTTGTGAGAGATCAACATTGGTTGTCCTGTGAAAGCCCGCCCCTCAGCAGAGGAATGTGTCATTTACAGAGCCGTGATGAGCTCTGGCTAACCACTCGTTTGCGCATGGGGGGTCACCCTCCATCTGTTTTACTTGTGGCTTGAGCATTAACTGGTCGGTTGCACCAGCTGTTTTGACGATTGGGTCCTTGTACACCAATTGTCATTGACGCTCAATTTGTATCCATGTGGAAAATGCCAAGCAGGAGAGCTCACATACTTTACAGCTGTGCCGCTATTGTACAAACTGGGCTCGTTTTGAAGTTTGAAGGTTTTTTTATGGTCATTGTTAAGCCGTGATTTACGTGCAATTTGACCAAAGCTTTTGGCTCAAACACACGTGTCACTGAGTGGTCTGTGATTATGGCAAGACAAGGAGTGAGACTAAATTATATTTCAACGCAAAGGGAGAGGAGAAATGCCATTAATGTGCACAAGGGGCATATTGCACTTACACCAAATTGGCATCTTTTAATGCGGCGTATATATATATATAGCTCTGGTAGGAAAAATATGAGATCGGGAGAAAGAAGCAAGACAGGATTCGCGATCATATTGCGTTGAGTGTGTTGTGTGCGAGATCCAGCGAGGCCGAGTAAGCCATTACAGCTCGGCTCTTTGTGTACTGAGTGGTAGCATGTGCCAGAGTCCCTGGTAAATGGATTCGTTCTGCCTTTCGCAATGGGAGAGATTACTGGAGTACGTTCATAATTTGTGAGCGGCGTGGGAGGTTAATGAGTCCCTTAATCCAAAAGGGGTTTCCAAATGCAAAATTGCCCACACTTAATTGAAATACGAAAGTTGTAATAAGGACAGTGGTGAATGGCGAGCCTTCGCGACTGATTGAACCACGCTCCGGCGTCATGCCATGCAACAACAACAACAAAACGTTGCACTTTCTTTTGCAAAGTAAATTTACAAGGCAGATTTGGATGCCTGAGTCGTTGCTCATGCGTCAGTCACCCTGTAACTGCCGCCAAAAGTCAACGTGAATCAAGCGATTGTAAAAAAAATGTTGATCTACATTCCTATAGCAAGGAGCCAGTACTTATGCAGGACACCCACTGTTGAATTTCACAGTGATACTAATTTTTTCAATAAGAGGCTAAGTCATGCTACAGGCAAGGTTTGAAATTGCACCTGTTGACTGTTATTCTTGCTCACCTCCTTATTTCATAAAAAATGTTTTATCCCAGTCTGACTTCAGTAATTGCCCGAGATGTCCTCTGTTGTGTTTTCTGTTTGTGCCCCCTCCAACAATCATTCACTTTTGTTGAGAAAACTTGTGTCACGTGACTTTGTTTTGCTCACAGTTACATTTTGCTCCACTTTTCAACCTTATGAGTGTTCGATTCTTCAATTAGTTCCCATCGTTTGTTGCGATTGATTGTCATACTGATAAACACATTTGAGATGGTTAACACTGTCACCATTTTCATTTAGGTATTTTCCACTTATTGGAAAAGATCCTTTAGTTCCACTTTGAATAGCTATGCGGATTATTTTTTGCATTCATTGGGATGTGGGAGTCACTGGTATGCCAGCATTGACTGCGCATATTTGCCTGGTTGCGCTGAGGAAGAGTTTATGCTGCTGGGCCTTCTCACCGAACTGTTTCGGTCTTTGTGGTTAGGGTGCGCTCCCCCCCAATGCCGTTCAAGAGACAGTTCCAGGAGTCTTAGCCAGCAGCGATGAACGAGGGGTGGCGATAAATGTCTCAAGTCAAGACAGCGGGTGACTAAGGACGGGAATCTTGGGAGTAGGTGGTGGAATCCTCTCCTTAACTGATGCTGCTGCCCTTGCCATTCTTAGTGGTGGAGCTTGCAGGTTTGGGGAGGTTGCTACTTTCTGTATTCAATCTCAGGGCAGCTTTTTCTTGGTTTTTTCGGTAAAGTCACGTAGAAGGGAAATAATAAAAGAATAAAACATGATAAAATAATTCTCACGATGTTTTGGCCACAACGCAAGCAGCCGTCCTCAGGTGAAGAACAGGTCTGTCGGAAAGACAGCGTCTGAATGAAACACCACCAGGCTTGGAGCGTATATTTAAGCTGGGTTGGAGGGGGAAGAGCGCCTTGACAAAAAAAATTGCATATCAATAGAAATGTAGCATATTTATGGGAAATACAGATATGGGATTAGTCATTACTTGTGGAATGCGTATCGTAATTGTATAGTGAATATACAGCAGTGTGGTATACAGTAGGGTGGGTAGAATAATACATAGTGTAATATTACAATGTATAGTCTGAGGTGGTGTATAGTAATGCAGTATATAATTTAATGTTGGGTTTGTCTATGGCAGTATATAGTATGGGGTAGACCCGTGTGATGTAAGATAAGAAAGTTTAGCTGGAAGCATATTATATTTTTTGCGACGTAGAATTGTAATGTATTACTTACTGTTAATAGCTCAGCTTATTGGAGAGTATATTTAGTATACTGATGATACTGATGTAGTTTATACTTTAGTTTTTTACGTGGTGGTTTAGTTGCTGCAGCTCCATACTATTAACATTCCTTCCCTTTATTAATGCTAGCCCTACTCCCTCCCTTTGATGCTGCTAATCCTGCATAATGCACGGGCATATTATGACTTTGAAACCCCCCGCCCACCTCCTACGCATTCCACAAGTAATGACTAATCCCATGTCTGCATTTCCCATAAATATGCTAAATTCCTCTTGATATGCAAATTATTTTGTCAAGGCGCTCTTCCCCCTCCAACCCAGCTTAAATATACGCTCCAAGCCTGGTGGTGTTTCATTCAGACGCTGTCTTTCCGACAGACCTGTTCTTCACCTGAGGACGGCTGCTTGCGTTGTGGCCAAAACGTCGTGAGAATTATTTTATTAAATTAAATTTTTATAATTTTATTATTTCCCTTCTACGTGACTTTACCGAAAGAACCAAGAAGATGAATCCCTGCAGTCACGAAAGCTTTAAATCGAAACTCAGGGCAGCTGTTCCATATTTTAAAATGGTTTTGATCATTTGTATATCGTTTTTTATTATTATTTTAAAAGGACAGGGTGGAGTAAATTTTGTGAGGATTACAAGGAAAATTTACATTTTATCTCAAGGAATGGTGAACTCTAACATTAAACGTTGAACAACAGCTGACAGGTATTACAAGAAGCATGGGAATTACTCGGAGACACAGAGATGACAACGTGGTTTAGAGAACAGACTTAAAGTAGATGTCATTTTGATTATTAGGACAAGTTGAATAGGCTGGGGCAAGACATGTCATGAGCAGGGATGATAGCCAATCGAGGAGACTGGCGACGGAATTTCAGCCAAAATGGAGGGAACACGCCGGAGAAACCAACCACTGGATATGGAGCAATGAAATTAGCTTACACGGAAAGAAGTGAGATGGATCGTGTGAGGGACGGTAATGGCATTTGGGAGTCTTCCTTCATCGGTGAATAAAACGCGACTGATGATGATGATGATTGTTCGTCAAGCGCTTTAGCCACAGCGCCACTTAACGTGTAAGGGCTCCGCGCGTCGAGCAATCGGGGCGTTAATGGCCGCCCACGGCTGGGGTGGCTTCCTGTTGAAGGGTCGTGAGGGAAAAATGCATCCTCGTCTCTCCTGCTGCAGGCTGCTTATTCCATTTCCTGGAAGCCTGTCAGCTCGGAGATCGAGCGGTGTTTGTCAGTGAGCGAAACTTAGCCCCTTTTTGTGAATATATTTTCGTTTAGTAACCTTGCTGAAGAAGCATCGTCTTAATGTAAAATTGTAGCACAATGTGTTCTGCACTCTTTGAAAAATGCAACGGCATACCGTTACTTCTTTCACTCTTGAATATATAAAAGTTGCAGCGAGGGAGAGGGTCCAACTCACAATCTCCTCAAGTACAACCTAGGGTTGCCGCAATATGATGATGGTTTAATGATATATCGGACGATATGAAACATGATACTAATACCATCCATTTAGCACAATATTGTCAAATCGTGATTTTGGTTGCTCATTTAAGTTTTTATATACTTTATTTAATTTTGGGATGACCTATTTATGAAAGAACTAAAAGTAGAGTTGACGCTATTAATGAAAGTTTAACTTTACTTTTAGTGTGCGCCTTTTGGCGTCATCTGGTCCAACACCATGTGAGACTAGGCTCTAAGGAAAGCTGTCTCGGTTGTGGACCAATCATCTTCAAGGACAGTGCATACATTATCAGAGTTGTGTTTTTTGTTTGCATATGACTGCAGGTATTGTGGTCTATGCAAACATGACTCCTTGTAAAAAAGGTGTCAGTTTTGTTGCCAGATAAAAGGGTAAAAAAACAATTATCAAAGTTCAACTTGTTGAATGGTTCATGGAGTAATTGACAACACGTCCACTAGATGACGTCATAATTTTCCAACAGTTCGTGCCGAAATAAGCGTTTTAGATTATAAAGTTATAACGATAAGAAGATATAAGATGGGCTTGCTTTGAGTGATTTACATTTCAATGACTATTAAGACATCTCTTTTCCTATTCCAGTTATGTTAAAGCACAACATAATATAGATGTGAATGCAATCACAAAGTTATGGGAAACTGATATTGAGATAATCGGCACATTGGGAAGTGTGACATTGAACTGTATTGTTAAAGATTACATTATGGCAAAACTCAGTCCGGAGTCGACTCGGTCCAACATCTCTCTGGGACGATAGAACTATTCCTCTTTGCATGAAGCAAGTAAACTAATCCCTGCCTAAAGAATGTGGCATGTCCAGCAAGGGCTGAGGAGTGCCTTGGGGAACGAACACGCAACAGCGCTCGTTTGAGCGTTGTAACAAGACGCGGCCCCCCTTTTGCTTTGTGCGTCCAGAGAGGCATCGCAGCACTGTTTGGCTCTCTGTGACGCTGTCCCCGTTGCTAACACTGCCGTTGCTGCAGATGAGCAAGAAGCATCGGGAGCCATCAGCTACTCGGTGGAGCTGAGGCGACATGGCGGTCCCCTGGGCATCACCATCTCGGGCACAGACGAACCCACGGACCCCATCCTCATCGCCAGCCTCACACCGGACGGCCTCGCAGAGCGGTACCTGTAGTGCCCCGCACCGCAGCCACAAAGTCCGACCACAGCACTGCAGTTCGTTCCATTGAAGATGTGTCTGATGTCTCACGTGGTTAGATTGAAAACTCATTTCTTTACAGCTGCTTTTTGTGTTTAGTTTGTTGTCCTTCTCTCTTGCCTCCGATTCGCACAGTTGGCTACGTCAGAAGTTCAACATACATACTGCACACCAGCCGCCGCTAGTTACGATTGTCTGTTTGAACTTGATTTATGGTGTTTTTCTAGTTGTATAGCTGTCGGCGTCGCGTTTTGAGACACGGATCTCTGAAGGAGCAGTGCAATCTTACGTCTTTGAGAATGGCCTATGGAATCGGATAACCACAGAGCTATCTCTGAGATCCCTTCTTCAAGTGACCTCTGTTCCATAGTAGAATGGGCAAAACTTTTACACCTGCTCACAGTATCAGTAATGTTAGTCACATGACAGTCAAACCATTGTTTAAATTCTCAGGCTCGAATTTATCCAAAATTAAGTGCAGAACCAAATTACAAAAAATGATGTTTATTTCGTGCAGTCATTGGTGACCAGGCTGATAGGATCAGTTCGATACATGCGAGAGCCTAATTTAATCACAGACGGTTGCCTGGATTAAAACCCAGGACCTTAGCAGTGCCAGCTCGGTGCTCTGACCTCTGACCTTTGACCTCTTGACCCCTGAACCACCCGGCCATCTCCCACTCGTGCCCTCAGAGTGACGCAACTGAAGTGAAGGGACGGCCTGGAAATTCAACAGTCAGGAAGTGCTTCCCATTACGCCGGGGACCAATCGTGGAAGGTGTCATCCAGAATTACTCACGGATTCACTTCAACTGGCCTCTCATCCAGCGGCACTATAGAATATTATAGTGCTGCTGCTTAATCGTCTGTGTAGAATTGCTCCCGATATATGTCACCCTTTATATTTAAATTGTAGACATTATAACCATCTTGGTAGAATTGAAGAGACAATTTTTGGAAAATAAGAGAACCTCGTTTGAGCCTGAGTGACTTGAACCTGGTGTCTTAGCAGTGCTTACTCACTTCTGAATTATGAACCATGTCACCCTTTATCTGTTTTTGTGTTAAAACACTGTTAGGTGCCATGTTGGCGAAATATTAACTACCTTGCCTGATATACAGGAGGTCGTGGGTTTGATCCTGATGCCTGTACAGTATATTTGGAGTTTGCGTGTCTCACTCCCCGCGGTCGCGTGGATTTTTATCAGGGTCCTCCGGTTTTTCCTTCCACATTTAGAAACATGCCTTTAGAGTATTTGGTAACGATACATTTCCACATGATAAGCCACTTCATTGAGTTATCATTTGTGGCCAGGTCGCTTTTGAAAAAAGCTACATAGCTCAGTGGGCCTTACCTGGTAAAATATAATTATTAGTTAAATAGTTATACTCTTTGGGTCTGTTGGTAAAGTCACGTAGATAGAATAAAAATTATAAAATAATAAAAAATCACGACGTTTCGATCGCAACACAAGCAATCGTCTTTACATGAAAAAATACAGCAGGCGGATGGCTGAGGAATGAAGAAATGTAGCGAGAGAGCTACTGCAGCCAAAGGTTATATACGTTTGAGATGGGTACAACCCAAGAGTAAGTCGGCGGACTGCCTCAGCAGTCTGCCTAGTGTATTTTTTCACCTGAAGACGATTGCTTGTGTTGCGATCGAAACGTCGTGATTTTTTATTATTTTATTATTTTTATTCTATCTACGTCACTTTACCGAAAGACCCAAAGAGTATGAATTCCTGCGGTCATGAAAGCTTTAAGTCAATTTAAATAGTTCGTTTCCTACCTGGTCTTTCCTTTATATTTGTATTCTTTTCCAGGAAATATTACTGATCTTTAAAATTATTTTCTAGAGAGTCCCGCATTAGGATATTTGGCCAATTTATTTCACTTCGTGTGGGAGTCTGGGTATATGTTATTCTTTGGGGAGCATTCGTGAAGCAGTTAGCCTCCCCTTAAATGAGTACCTGGTGCGGTGTGTAAACATCGCCACTGGTGAGGCGTGGTGCTGGCCACCCACCCTCTCGTGTGCTGTCCCGGTCTTCATAGGTGCTGCTTGCTAACAGCACTTGCCCCAACAGTGTGTTAAGGCTATGGGGGGAAACTTTGTCTTTGTTTGTAATTCTGAAAGTGTGGGATGTGGGAGTCCCTGCAGACACCTCACATTCTATACAGGAAAATTTCAAATCCTGCACGGACAGGTCAGAAACTAATTGGATGCACTCCCACCTCCTGACCACCTTTCAACCCCACAGGTGGCATGTTTCAGGCACAAGATTATCACGGTTGGCGACGTACTGTACGAAAGAAGTTAAACATTGATGCATAATACAAGATTCAATCTGAGTGATTCACCAACCCCAGACCTCTAGAATAGCGGCATGCACCGTCGTGCCCAACTTATAATCGTTTTTTTGGATTGTTTCTTGTTGCGACTTGCTGACTCGCTCCTACTGAACATATATAAAAAAAGAGCTGAATAGCTCATCGGATTCCTCCTCCAGTCTAAGTAAAGATTCTGATTCTGATGTCGTTAGTGGGCATGTGTGCATGTCCATCGGCAGCACTAGTGCTGCATTGGAGTTATTTTTTTTTTGGGTTTTGGAGAGATACTTATTTGCCAACTGCCTTTCCCTCCCCTTATAACCCCCCCCCCTCCTCCACCGTTGTGTGACACGATGTGCTCTGAGCGCGGCAGAACCGGAGCGATTCACGTCGGCGATCAGATCTTGGCCATCGACGGGATTTCTCTGAAGGGCAAGCCGCTGAGCGAGGCCATCGCGCTGCTGCAGCGAGCCGGCGAGATTGTGGCGCTCAAAATCAAGAAGCGCACCGCAGGTCGGCCCCCGTGACGCGTCCGTCTTTAATCCGAAGCCGTCACTGTGCGGGGACGCATCAAAGGGACGCGCGCGCGGATCTGGCCGTTTGGGATGAGAGGGCCAGGTTGAAGTTTCTGAAAGAAACGGTGCTCAAAGCCGTCAACGCATGGCTTATTTGTATTTTTTCTATTTATTATTTTATCAGCGATCTAAAATTTGATTGTGATGCAGCACACAGTGGGCTATATTTACAAATCATTTCATGTGGTCTCAAGCATGCGTTTTATCAGCAGATGATGCATTTTGCAAAAATCCACCCTCGTGAATTGGTTTAAGAGACATTTTGTCCCTTCATTGGATTTTTACTTCGTATGAATACACTTTATATAAATTGATTTATTTATTGATTGCCATGTGGTTGGGTGGAAATCTAATAATTGAACACATGCAATCTGCAGATTTATTGGCAAATGTGCCACGGAGCCGTAAGTCACATTTATTTAAGTTTCTTATCTCGTTCGAGAGGCGACGCTTGGGCCAAGGCTGAGTGACAACCCCCGAGTGCAGAGCCGATTGGTTTGTGACCCAGTTTTAGGTCTCTCCCCCCCCCACCCCTCACCCTTTCTCAAGACGAATCTTCGTGAGATCGCTGCCATGCAAGTTGTGCACGCCATCTCAAATCGTCTCTCTATCCCCTACTCGCTCTCACAGTAAACAGTCGCTTATCTGGGAGGGCTTCACCGAGTCTCAAGAGTCCTGCTTGAAAAGCCCGGGCCCAGTTCCTCATTGAGGGATTTGCTTGTGGAAGAAAAAGGGATTATCCTGAGTAAAAATATCCACATTTCACGGGAACCCAGATTAATCCCTGGGGAGCTATGTGGGCTGATACACTTCTGAATGCATGTCAGTGAAATTACGTACAAGTGAACCTTCGTTCATATTCGAGCTGGTCCAAACACGACCGTGTCATGCCGTGTAGCAGTTGACCTACATGCAGAAGGTCAGGAGTAGAAACTCTGGTTGGAGGTTGACTGGCTATAATCCCTCTGGAGGTTAATAAAAATAATTACCACCATGTGGTCAGTTAATGGTTGTTATCCTATGCAGAGACTGATCTTCTGCCATAATCATGTGGAACTTCAGCAACTATGTTGAGGCACAAAGGGAGATGCACTCGATCCAAAAGCTCGTTCGAAAATGTTTTTATTTAATAGAAAAAAACATAGCTTAGTACCGTATCTGTAATACTGTGTGCATACTATGTATATGTTCAAGTGAGATAATATCTCTGAGCAGAGAACGACAACAGCAGGCAGCCAGAAGCTTGTAGTTGGAGGCAGCATTTAACACGTTGGTGCCTTATTCAGTGTCTTTAAAAAGCAGTGTTTTTGTAATTGTAACCTTTTGCTCAATCACACAGAGTTTGTCGTTATTCCTCTGGGCACGACGTGCCTGGGTACGTGCTGTGCCTTTGCCTGCTTACAGATGGCGATGTGTACCCTGCCGCCATTCTGTCACAAACACTCATCCTCACTCTGGATGTCTTCCCACCAACCCCACACACTACAACGCAGCCCCTTTCATACTAAGCGCTTCTCTCCTTGATATATTACCCCCCCGCCACGCCCCCCACCCCTCCAAACATACACGAATTTTTATTCAAGTTTCAGTTCGGCGTACAGAGGAGAAAAATAAATCTTCATATGCGGACGGAAATTGAATCTCGAAACGTCACAGCATTCCTTGGCCAGATATCACATATATTTGATGACATATCGCAAATGCTGCACGGCCCCACCTGGCTTCTGAATGAAAGTATGAGCCGGGGGCTACGTGGAACGTCTTGATAACACATTCCATTAACTTCTGCTCAAAGTGTTATTTTTTTATTAATGGACACTACCTGCGCTCAAAATTACTTCTCTGAAATATGCGTCACGACGGTGTTATGCCCCCAGAGGGTTTCGCGGCGATTGAGAAGGGACTGGGAGGCTGGCGGTCGTTGGGAGGTAGGATGCAGCTTCGCGGTGTTAACTACCTTGCCCGGTATTCAGGAGGTCGTGGGTTCAACCCCAACCCTCACGTCTGTATATTTGGAGTTTACGTGTCTCTCTCCCCGTGGTCGTGTGGATTTTGCTCCAGGTCCTCCGGTTTTCCCCTCCACATTTAGAATCAACATGCGTTTAGAGTATTTGGCTGCTAGAAATTCCCATATGATGATAAGCCACTTCGTTGGGCTATCACTTGTGGCCAGGTTGCTTCTGAAAAAAGGGCTATAAAGCTCAGTGGGCCTTACCTAGTAAAAAAAAATTTTGTTTCATTTATCTGGTTGGCATGGAAGAGGAGAGGGGCTCGATAGGGCTTTCCCTGGAGAAGGCCGTTCAGCCAGCAGTGGCGTCAGCAATACATTGCAGGGCCTGCGCCTTTACCACCTAGGGAAATGAGATGCCGCCCTAGCACGGCATGGCTGCCCACGTGGATGTGCCAGGCCTGTGTGTGTCTTGCTCAACCACAAGAAACCCAGCGGCGGGTGGCAGCAGTGCCGGCGCGTGTGTGTGTGTGTGTGTACACGGTGACAGATGGCGGCAAGGAGGCCCCGGGCACGCTGGGGGACGTGAGCGACTCGGACGAGGACGACGGCGGATTGGGGGGCGCGCGCCCTTCCCGCCTCTACCCCGGTGCCCTCACGCCGGGCTCGGACAGCGCCCTGGGCTCCTGGGATGGCTCGGCCACCAACTCCAGCCGCCACAGCCACAGTGAGGGAGGGCCTTTGCGTGTCCGTGCGGCAGGGCCCCCTGCAGCCCCACTGCCTGGCGAACGGTTCCCGATGGTTATTAGAATCAGAATACAGACCCCCTGCGTTAGATACGAGTCTTCTCACCAGTGTCCAATTGGCAGTACAAATGAGCACCCGATTCAAGAGCCGAATTGCTCACAGGGCTATACCAAATAAATGACATGAAACTGAGTCCCACCATATAGTCGATGAAGAGATAAAGTGTCGGTACTCCCACCTCTTCCAAGATGTCTGGCTAGCGTCTGAAAGAGTAGACCAAATACCCTCTAGATGTGCGCTCTCTCTGGCGGTCCCTCCAGCGGTGGCTCTTCCACCGGCAATGGAGTGAGAGAGAAATTGCAGGGCTACAACCTGCGCCTTAACCCTGTTCGCAAGCCAGTTCGTTGCAAATGAGAGGACACACCGCTGGCCAGTTGCGTGAACCCCTGAAGTGAAATATCATAATTTAAGTTGACACTGATTTACCGTAGCAGCTGAGGGAATTGTTTTACTTTAATTTGCTTTGTGCAGCTGACCCAATTCTATTAGGGGAGCCTCCGTTTTGCTTAGGGCTTCAGCTGTACAACTCGGAGAGGGGGACAGTCGTAGTCTGACGAACTCACGTGCAAGTGGGCACACGCGTTAGAGACGCATGCACTTAAGCCGGCGTCCCTTCATTCTACCACGCATGTGCTAATTGTGCTGGCAGACTCAGCGTAACGTTGTTGGGTTGGGTTTTTTTACATTGTAAATATTTTGTTACTAATCTCGTCCAGGAACTTTGCTTTGGTGTTGGTAAGCCATGGGCCAAGTTTCTTCGCACTTGCTTTCGAAATTTTGTTATTTTTCGTGAAAAGACATTAAGTGTCCTGAAACTGATGGACAGTTGGACGGACTAATTTTCAGCCTCAGCAATAAGTGATCTTTCAATTTCCGAATAAATAGCCGCATCTTGACACAGCAGGTGTTAGAAGGTAGATTTGTGTTTTGTTTTATTATTCTCCTTACCTCATTTGGACCATCAAGTGTGGTCATATTAAGAGTCTTCTGACTGTTGTCGTCCCAGACCCTCATGACTTGTCCCATTAATGTTTGGCTCGTGGTTACATAAACCCAAATGCAGTTACATAATTAATGTACCATTCGCAAAAACGCCGATGCAATAAATCCCAACAGCTGATTGGGGCTCTGCAGCAACAAATAACATCTACTTATCTTATGCAGTCACTTTCAATAGCACTTTGTCAAAAAATGTTGTCCGCTGCGTAAGTTTTATTTTTTCGCGATCGTGCAGCACAGCTCCCTCTCGTCTGTGCCTTTGGGTCGTAGCGAACAACACGCGGAGGCATCCCGGCCGCGCACCGTCGCGAGTTCGAAATAAGCGATGGGCGTCGCAGCCTTCCTCACGGGCGGCGACGGCCAACGGCAGGGCAGAATGCGCGATAGCAGATCGCATCGTTACTCATTCTGTTTATCGAGCGTAACAATTACCTCTGTCATTGTACCCCATCTTGAGTTGTCTTGGTGTGGTCTGGGACTGTTTTTGGAGTTGTTTTGTTGTCTTGTCCAAGCTTTAATTTAGTGTTGAAATAATCTAAAGCATTTTATGCACTTATGCAATTTGTACTTATGTATGCTATTTATTTATTTAGTGACTTGCTCAACCTTTTCTCTACTTTGTACCCCTATGTGTACAAGAGAAATCTGCGTGATCCGCCAAACCCACATCCAAACCACTCGAACACAGGCATGCACCATCATGCCCGACTTATCGTGTGCAAGATGTTGACGTGCTTGCCATTTTCACTATTTTCCACTCCTATCGTGTGTTTTTGTATCGTTGTCACGCGCTGAAAGGCCCCGACTGAACATCTTTGAAAAAAAAGCTTCATAGCTCATCGGATTTCTCCAGTCTGTATAAAGATTCCGATGTGCCCCCCTTTTAAAGGTCACTCTCCAGGGTTTCCCCCCTACTATTGTGATGTAATTTAACCCCCCCTCACCCCCCCCCCCCTCCCCCACACGTGACAAAATGAGTAGAACCGGCCGAGTAGCTCAGTGGTCGAGCGAGCGGCTCGCAATGGAACGACTGGACGTTCACATTCCTGGTTGGGAGGTTGACTCAGCCCATCATCCCTTGGGCATGAGTAAAATAATTACCAATTTGCGAGGAGGTCAACGGCGGTCGTTCCAATGGGAAAGACCCGCCCACGTCTCCCACCATAGGAATAGAGGGTTTCCGCCTACTGGCTCCGCAGGAGATGAACACCAATTCCTCAGCGCTCATTTTTGTAGGAAATAACTTTGACTTTGTTGTGAAACCGTTTAGCCCCCCCCCCCCACTTGTCAAGTTTGCTGTTGTCGCCGTGACCCCTGAGGATTATCCTAATTGACTGCCCACCGAATGGTGCAGCATCACCGGGTAGTGAATATTTTATTGACCTCGCCGGGGATGATTGGCCGAGTCCAACCCCAAGCCCCCCCCCCCCTAAAATTGAACGCATTCATGACTGTGAAATGCCTGCACTCTTTGGTCGAAGTGATCAATTTCCAAGCCAAAGTACCTTGATGTGAAACAAATTACCGGGTTTCCACAGCACATGCTCGCTTTGATAGTAGCCGCGAGATATGCAAGTGGGGTTTTTTTCTAAATATTTGTTTTATTGTCTTCAAACATATGTCTGTCAACCGAGTTGGTTCTCTTGATATACCCACAGTATTCAATCTCTTACTCATGAACGCCTTCTTACTTGGATTCTGTTGTGGTATTATTGTTTGATCTTGCTCTGCGGTCTACTTTAAATACTCTGAAGCCTCATTGAATTAACTTTCACAAAGTCTGATAATCCATTTCATTGCATGTGGGATAATCTTAAATTACATGGGAAGGGTGTTGGAATATATATTATTTTTAAAATCGTATATTTCAGTTTATTCCAATTTCTATATCGGCTTCACGTCGTGAGCTAAATAATACATCTGGGAATCTCACAGAACAGCGTGGCGTGTGTCCAGATTGCACCCTGTGGAAGATGTACTTCACAGGCTTTACCCGAAAAATCCTTCAAGTGGCCTTGTTATATCTTACATATTACGGGAGATATAATTTGACAAGAGAACTTCTATTAGGTTGCCTCATGACTGTCAGCCCGACGTTAAATATACATCTTCTTGGTTCTTTCGGTAAAGTCACGTAGAAGGGAAGTAATAAAATAATAAAAATAAAACATAATAAAACAATTTTCACGACGTTTCGGCCACAACGCAAGCAGCCGTCCTCAGGCGAAGAATGAAGCACCACCAAGCTTGGAGCGTATATTTAAGCTGGGTTAGAGGGGGGGAGGTGGGAAGAAGAGCGCCTAAACAAAATAATTTGCATATCAAGAGGAATTCAGCATATGGAAAATGCGTAGGAGGTGGGCGGGGGGGGGGGGTTCCAAATCAATACTATGCCCGTGCATTATGCAGGATTAGCAGCATCAAATGGGGGGGGGGGGGGGGGGGAGGGGGTAGCATTAACAAAGGAAAGGAATGTTAATAGTATGTAGCTGCAGTTACTAAACAACCACGTAAAAAAAACTAAAGTATAAACTGCATAACAAACTAAAGTATAAACTTCTACGTGACTTTACCGAAAGAACCAAGAAGATGAATCCCTGCAGTCACGAAAGCTTTAAATCGAAATTTAACCGCCTCTACGGGGAGGGTTTCCACATAACTTTGAGATCCTTCAACAAGCTCCGGGATAAGAAGGCTCAGCTAATCGAGTCTCTCACCTTTCTGAAGAGATGCCGCGACTCTAAGGTAATACCAAACGCATTTACACTAACATCTGCTGCTGTAACTTCTTCTAATGCGAAACGAATTCTGTCTAGAACTAGCTTAGCTCTTATCTCAGAGAAAATCAGACTTACGCGCACCGAACTAGATCAGTTAGACAAGACACTCTACAAATCACACTTATCTTTGAGTGTAACAATGTCCACATCGGATTGGGAACATGTGGAAAAAATGACTGCCTCTTCAGCTGCCGCTATGTCGACTAAATGTAAGGACAACTTGATTTCCAAATTCAACCGCCTCTCAAACAAGAAACCGGACCCACACATTGAAAAGCTAGATGTTAACAAAGTCGTAATTAATCGCAGTAACAGTCCTATTTCTGAAGGTTTGAAATCCGTTTTAGCTAAAGGACTAAACTTTGCAGGCACACCTAGACACATACCAGTTAATGATATAATTGCTCGAGTAGATGTAGCTCTCAAGGGCTTGAGTCACATCGCTGCAGACGTAGCAAGATCCGAAATCTCTGTAACCCTCAAAAACGCTAAGATGCCAGCTAGCAACATCAGCAAAGATGAGCGTTTTGAATTAGCTCAATTAAAAAAGAGGGATGACATTGTCATCCTCTCAGCCGACAAAGGCAATGCCACTGTCATCATGGACAAAATAGAATACAACAACAAAATTCAAGAACTACTCAACGATGGCAGCTATACAAAAATAAAAAGAGACTCCACCAACAGCCTCGTCTCCAAAACCAACAACATCATTTCTGCTTCAACCGCATTAATTGATCAGACCAAACAGTTCTCGTTGAAACCTTCTGCAGCCAGGCCACCAAGATTGTACGGCTTGCCAAAGATACATAAAGAAGATACACCTCTTCGTCCCATTGTCTCTACTATCAACTCCCCCACTTACAAACTGGCTGGTTTTTTGTCCGAAATCCTACGGCCTTTCACTGGAAAAACCACCTCTGCAGTACTAAACTCTACTGACCTGGTATCGACAATCAAGGGGATTGCCCTGTCCCCAGACGACCTGCTTGTCAGTTTTGATGTGGTTTCCTTGTTCACCAAGGTGCCTGTGCCTGACACCATCGCAATCATTGAAGACTTGGTTCATCAAGGACTGAATGCTGGGGTACCCCCCCTGGTGAGACACTGCTTAACCAATACATACTTCACCTGGAATGGAACCTTCTACAAGCAAATTGAGGGCACCCCAATGGGCTCCCCCCATCTCCGGTTGTAGCCAACATCTTCATGGAGAAATTTGAGACGGACGCCATCCAGACTGCCACTCTACGCCCGACCTTATGGAAGAGGTACGTAGACGACACTTTTGTCATCTGGCCACATGGCCGGCCTGCTCTAGACCAATTTCTCGACCACATCAATTCCATACACCCAGCCATCAGATTCACCATGGAAGTCGAAAATGATGGCAAGCTACCTTTTTGGATGTCCTAATCAAAAGGAGACCTGATGGTTCAATGAGCCACTCTGTCTACAGGAAAGCCACCCACACGGATGCTTATCTAAAACCGGATTCCCACCACCATCCATCCCAGAAGAATTCCCTCATCAAGACTCTATATCATAGAGCCCAATGCATCTCCGACCATGAACACATTTCCAGTGAACTCAAACACGTACGCCAAGCTCTTAAGGCTAATGGTTACTCCGACTACACAATCCGCAAAGCCATCACTCCAACCATCAAGAAGGATCCTGTTGAGGAGCCTTTCAAGACCATCACCTTACCCTACATTGCTGGGGTCACAAAAAAGATCTCCAAAATCCTGATTAAACACAAGATCCAGGTCCGATTCAACACAGTACATAAAATCCGTGATCTGGTACCGTCTGTAAAAGATGTGGTTCCAGACATACAGTACCCTGGTGTCTACAAACTAAGTTGCCTCTGTGGTAGCAGTTACATTGGGGAAACCAAACGACATGTCTCGGACCGCATCCGTGAACATAAAGCTGACCTGAAACACGGTAGGACAAACACCTCAGCCGTGGCAGATCACTGTTACAACTCAGTGGGCTCACATGACATTGACTTCTCCAAGACAGAGGTTCTCTGCAAGCCATCTGGCTATCATGAGAGATTCGTTCATGAGGTGATCCACATATACAAACACAGAGACAATTTTAACCGAGAAGATGGATTCTGGCTTAGCAATCACTGGAAGGACGTAATAAACCATTTTGATACACATTAGGGTGGGTAGAATAATACATAGTGTTATATTAAAATGTATAAGGTATAGGGTGGTTTATAGCAATACAGTATGTAATTTAATGTTGGGTTTGTCTATGGCAGTATATAGTACGGTATAGACGCGTGTGATGTAAGAGAATAAAGTTTAGATGGAAGCATATTATATAATTTTTTTTTACAACGTAGAATTTTTTTTATGTATTACTTACTGTTAGTAACTCAACTTATTGTAGAGTATAGTAAGTATACTGATGATGCTATGTAGTTTATACTTTAGTTTGTTATGCAGTTTATACTTTAGTTTTTTTACGTGGTTGTTTAGTAACTGCAGCTACATACTATTAACATTCCTTTCCTTTGTTAATGCTACCCCCTCCCCCCCCTCCTTTGATGCTGCTAATCCTGCATAATGCACGGGCATAGTATTGATTTGGAACCCCCCCCCCCCCCCCGCCCACCTCCTACGCATTTTCCATATGCTGAATTCCTCTTGATATGCAAATTATTTTGTTTAGGCGCTCTTCTTCCCACCTCCCCCCCCTCTAACCCAGCTTAAATATACGCTCCAAGCTTGGTGGTGCTTCATTCTTCGCTTGAGGACGGCTGCTTGCGTTGTGGCCGAAACGTCGTGAGAATTGTTTTATTATGTTTTATTTGTATTATTTTATTACTTCCCTTCTACGTGACTTTACCGAAAGAACCAAGAAGATGAATCCCTGCAGTCACGAAAGCTTTAAATCGAAAGTTAAATATACATTTATTTTATTATTTCCCAACCCCACAATGTTGTGCTATCCATGTCACTCCACAAAGCAAAGTGTGATTATGGATCTCTAGTGGTGCAGTGTGATTATGGATCTCTAGTGGTGCAGTGTGATTATGGATCTCTAGTGGTGCAGTGTGATTACAGATCTCTAGTGGTGCAGTGTGATTATGGATCTCTAGTGGTGTAGCGTGATTATGGGTCTCTAGTGGTGCATTGTGATTATGGATCTCTAGTGGTGCAGTGTGATTATGGATCTCTAGTGGTGCAGTGTGATTATGGATCTCTAGTGGTGCAGTGTGATTATGGATCTCTAGTGGTGTGATTATGGATCTCTAGTGGTGCAGTGTGATTATGGATCTCTAGTGGTGTGATTATGGATCTCTAGTGGTGCAGTGTGATTATGGATCTCTAGTGGTGCAGTGTGATTATGGATCTCTAGTGGTGCAGTGTGATTATGGATCTCTAGTGGTGCAGTGTGATTATGGATCTCTGGTGGTGCAGTGTGATTATGGATCTCTGGTGGTGCAGTGTGATTATGGATCTCTGGTGGTGCAGTGTGATTATGGATATCTGGTGGTGCAGTGTGATTATGGATCTCTAGTGGTGCAGCGTGATTATGGATCTCTAGTGGTGCAGTGTGATTATGGATCTCTGGTGGTGTGATTATGGATGTCTAGTGGTGTGATTATGGATCTCTAGTGGTGCAGTGTGATTATGGATCTCTAGTGGTGCAGTGTGATTATGGATCTCTGGTGGTGTGATTATGGATCTCTAGTGGTGCAGTGTGATTATGTAACTGACCGTTTTGCCTCCCCCACACTGGGTACAACCACCACATTGCAGGTCACGAGACTCCTCTTTCTGCTTCTTCCCTGGCACTACCCAAACTTTCCTTCCCATTGTCCCTATTCCTTCAAAAGCTTTTGTAACAATAAAACAACAACCTTGGCCAAATTTAAATAACGTCTTGCACGTACTCTTTCCTATCACTACTTTGATAGTGCTGTTTTGATGCTGGCCCTTTTAACGGCTCAGGCCCTGGGTGCCCTGCGCCGAGCAACAATGTTTTAACCAAAAACGTCGGGCGATAAAACGATGACGTTCGACGATGGTGATGATGTGTGTGCCCCCCCGCCCGCCACCACCGCCATGCTTAGGTGTGAAGGACGAGCGAAGCTCAAGCCCGAGCGTGCACACGGCGGAGTGCAGCGGCAATGACGCATCGCACAGGGACGGCTCGTCCCTCGGCGGCAAGAGCCCCGCCGCCGCCTCCCCGGGCCTCACGTGAGCGTCGCACTGTTCCCAATCGACCGCTCTCATCGAACATCCAGGCCACAATCTCAACCCTGCACGTTTTCGAGCGGTGGTGGATTATTTTTTAAGCTCCATTCGCGTCACTCGCTGCCTTTTCATTATATTTTCTATTTTTTGGTTGCAGATTTTACTGGGTGTGAATCGCAATCGCTGCGGCCACTCAGCCGACTGATAATTTACACGGTCTACCGTGAGGGTATCTCGTGAGGTGTTAATGGTGACTGATTCCTCATTCATTTCTTGTGGGTCAGATTGTGTAGGTACAGTATAATGACAATTACATTTAAATTAGCATTATAGCTACGTGATTTAAACTAAAAGAAACGTATTATATGAATTGTAATATTGGTTGTGAATGCCGACGTATAAAATGAATAGTGGCTGTTTGGCCAGGTGGCTCTTGTTGACGTAGAGTTGACTCACAGTTGGAAGATGACAAACCATTCACATGAATGCCAATATCACAGAGGCCAACAAGTGGTTGTCCAGTGGATAGACTGCCCCCCTTTCATTGGAATGTAGACTCTTCACCGTAAGCAACTGGACACATGTGGGAATGAGCATTGTCACATACTCACCTGAGCCGGGAGACGCTTAATTTTGAACTGTCTTTTGACGTCATTCAGAGGCAGCAGTCGCCAACGTTGTGCCTGATTGTTAAATTCTACCCACGTGTCGATGTGCTGTCCATCAAACACAAAGCCAAATATATACGCCAATCACAGAATGGACAAAGTTACATATATGTAACATACTTTGTCAGCATTGTGTAAAAATATGCAGTCATTATTTGAACTTGCTGCAATGGTCTTCTCTCGTGAAAAATCGATTATTACAGTGGGCTGTTAGCTAGTTAAGTAGACAAACACATTTTGCAGTCAAATATATATACTTATTGCTTTGCTTGTGGCTGTTGTCAACAACCAACTGTCATGGACGTGGGACCTTGGGGACAGAGAGGACAGCTGTCCCCAGACTTTTGGCCATCATGGCTAAGCTACAGCTGTGTGCCAACAGCCATCAGGGGCCCCCTATGGCTACTCAGTGTGAACTGTGGAATTCGAGCTCCGCCAACAAAACTAATTCAGCGTCTACATGTTACCTACGAAAGTCTGAACGGAGCAGGAACCTGGGGTTCCTGATCGTTTGGCCAAGTCCCCTAATGAGTGGTTGTGCACATGGTGAGAGGATTCTGCACAATCTGTAGAAAGCCATCGGTGTCGCGCACACACACAATCGCTTAACGCAGTGGGAGCCTCTGGCGATTGAATCTTTCATGTTAGCTAATCTTGCACGGTAGTGCACACACAACGTATCTCTTTCCAGCCAAACATTGCTTCAACTGAAGTTTTTTGGGGATTTCTTTCAAAGAGCATTGTTTTTTAAAGGCAAAATGCAAACCTGATTGAGTACAGGCATTTGTTTTACTTCTACTTAACTTGAGTGTAAAGGAGATTTCATGGGCTAAATAGTTTGTTATCCACATACACAGTTGCGCAACGGCATATCACGGTTTTTCTGGAGTTTATTGTTCACCGTAAAACTCCTACCATTGCATGCGTACACCCCGTGTGTTCCAGGGTGCCTACAACAATTCAAATGACAGAAAAATTACAGGCAGAGACACTACTAAGTGATAAGCAAACCCGGCAATCGCATTCCACTGAAAACCCATAGGTGTTAAAATCGCTGCCACTGACAGTACGGTATTAATGGCAAGAGCGAAAAATTAAGGAGCGAACACTGACACACAGTGGGCTTCCGTAACCACACTCGCGATTAGAGAGACAGCCTTAACATCTGGATTTGCGTGGCATTATCGGCACAAGGAAATCAATCATTTGTGTCAGCGGGGGTGGGGGGAGGGGCGGCTCCACAAGACTTCACACTCCGCAGTGATTTACACACGAGGGGTTCCAATTAAATTGCCCCACATGGTGATGCGGGCAAAACAGATAACAGAGCCGGTAAATTGGATAATACGGATATTATTGACAACACTGTCCCAAGTTTAATAATGTTACGTAGTCCGAGCAATAAAGTATAATCAGCTCAAAATATGTCGCTTATCTCTGATGCGTTTCGGGAGAAGAAGAAAAAGATGTATTGGTCATATCTACTGCAATCAATGTATGGATCTTATCTGTGATACGTAATAGGATCATCTGGCTTCCAGGGGTCAAGGAGGGGTCACGCGAGTCATGACACTCAGGCTTGTGGCCACAGTAATGAAACAAAACGTGAAATTCAGTGCAATATTTGGATGAGAATGATGGTTTGGTCTTCGCAATACTGTTAACATCGTAGGCGACGAGTCCCTTAAACGTAAAGTCCTTCTTCTCTCGACTTCCCTCCAGCCACTGTTCATAACCTTCCTCATCCCATCCTCGCCCCCGCTCACCCTGCTTGTTCAGGAGCATAGATACATAAATGTGCAGGTCTGATAAAACTAACAAGAGCCCGTGGGCCAGAAACATGCAAATAAATAAATGTAGTTATTAGCGAGATTTACCAAGAATAAATATATTATAAGAGACCGGAAATCAAATCGTCATGTATTTACGTAAGAGACAGAGAGATGTATTCAACAGAGAGATAGCAGACCTGGAAATGTAACTGTAATTAGAAGACAAATAAGAAATGAACAAGAGCAGGAGAGACTCATAGAGGGAGAGGGCTCGCGCTGCTCCACTCCATGTCGTTCTCACTCCCGGGCCGCACCCCCACGATCGCCCACGCTCCCACCCCCCCGCGTCACGACAGACCCTACGCATTGACCTCGATGGTTAACCTCATTATTTTACACAGTCATGTAAAATTATTAACTTAATTTAATTTTAAAGTGTGGGCGGTGAACCATTTTTAATGGCAAGTCCATGTAATAAATGAGTTGGCAGGCTATGGACTGGTGTAACAAAGCTAGAGAAATTCCCTTTATCCTCCGGAAACCATAGCAACACCCACCAGGGCCCGAGGATTTCCACGTGGGTCCATCCGGCACTTTTCTTGGCCCAAATTTTTTTTAAACTCCGAATGAAAGTCATGGCCTTAAAGCAACCTCCAACACTGAAGGACATTACTAGAATGTTTTTTTTTACAGTACATGAAAAAGTTATGGTGCGTCATTAATGAAAATGGGCAGTAGTGTGGTGGTATCATTAATGGAATATAAATTTTGCCAGTTTCCTCCAAAAAAAATATAAAACAGTAATGATGTCAGTTTCTGCATTGTAGAGTTCCCTTCGAGCTGCCTTGGGCAATATATTTTCTGTCTCAATTGGGTCTCAACAGAAACTGAATGTAGATAGAACGTTTAGAAGAGCTACCAAATTTTCATAATGGCTCAGCTGCTTTGTGATTCGATTTGGCAAAGTCTACGCGACCTTTTGCCTGATGTTTAAGTATGCAAAGTGGCAACAGAAGGTGCATGCAATGTGAAAACATTCAAGACGCAGCATGCTGCCGCTCACCTACCATCACCCCCAAAAGCAGCAGTGACATCACAGCAGTTAAAAAACACTGAGCTGACCGAGTGGCTCACACGGCTAATGCTTCACCCACGACAAAATCATCCTAAATGCACCCAATCTCTGGTCATATCGCAAAAGCTAAGCAGGTTAGAGATCCTGGTCACAGTACGCAGTGGAGTGAACAGGAGAGGTTGCCAATTGTCGCAGGCATAGGGCAGCGGAGTGGTCAGGACGTGACGGTGTTGTCACTCGCTTGCTCTGTGTGTGGACTTTCTCTGGGTTCTCCCGTGTCCTCTGACGTGAAACCAAAACGCATTTTTAAAAATCTAAAATAGCCAAACATCCCCAATGCAAGCAACCTGCAGAAAGGACTCGGAGACTCGGCAAGGCTTTTTTTCCCCCTGGCTGGGTATTTTGGCGTTCGGCATTTATTGCTTCCACTTCAGAACACTTCAGAGTGCAGGATCGCCAAGACGCTGTGTTGGAACGGCAAAGCGCCACACCGAGGGTCGAAGGCTGCTTCTCACTCGTGGCAATGTGGAGTCGCTCGGCGTGGTCACCAGTGACCACTGAACCACGAAATGGAATGCGTAGTAACTTTATGAGGTTATGCTCTGTGAGGACTTGTCTGATGTGCTCTTAACCAGGGGCCATTTCCCCCCCAAAAATGTCCCCTTTTACATAACACTTCCTTTTAAGGCCAGAGTGTTATCGATGGCTGCGTTGGGGTTTTTTTGGTTTATTGGTACAGAGTGAACTGCTCATGTAAGAGCACAGCCTAGCGATTTTTGTAAGGTGGACCCTTAAAGGACCATTGATATCATTTCAGGAGATGTTTCATCTTTGGATGAATTGCTTATGTACATTCTTGCCTGCCTAGATGGCAGTGTCACAGTCAGGATGTGTGATTCAAAATACAAACCCATCTCCAAAATAATCATATTTATTTGTGTGTGTATGTATGTATGTGCATCGTCGTTCATGCAAATTCCATCTCACCGTGACTGAGGAACCACAAAGCTGGAGGGCATAAGCCAGGTGGTGAGCCGGCACTACCAACAATTGCCCAAGCTCTGCAGTTCTCCATATATTTAGATGTTTTCGGGCAATGAGTATTCATACATGTAAGTCACGTGAGGAAATAATTTTTGTTTAACAGGTATATTGGAAGGAGGTACTCAGCAGGCTCCGACAGCGAAGGACACTTCTTGCCACGAAAGCACGAAGTGGTGGATGTTTGTGGGCCATCTGCAGCACTGAAGGATGTGAAGGTAAGCTCTTCGTTCAATAATTAACAAGAAATAAGCGGACAAAACATCTCTCCCATACATCTGTCCCTTCACACACACAACAAGTATTTTCCACGCTTCCTGCCAACCGCAAAGTCTTCTGGGAGGGCATAATCTCGGCAGCATTGGTTCAGCAAAGCAAACTCTGGACTGGCTTCGACATACACAACGTCTCATCGGGAGAGTTTGATTTCTGAACCAATCCTGATCAACTGCTAGATACAATAGGGGCCATCCATAAATGACGTCACGCGATTTTGGACGATTTTTTAACCCCCCCCCCCAATCGTCACATGGCGTCACAAAAAGTTAGACTCCCCCTCAAATATGACGTCACAAAGCTCTGCCCCCCCCCCCAAAAATAAAACATGCTTCAAATCGCTTTAAATTATTGTCATTGTAGTGCGTATTTAATGTGGCGCTGCACTGTAGGAGAAAACATTTATTAATAAGTCTATTTAATTAAGTAGAACGTGTTGTCGATATTTATTTAAAGTTGCGCATTTTGATATTACGTCACATTTCTCAACCCCCCCCCCGTCACACATCGTGACGTCATTTATGGACGGCCCCATAGGCAAAACCCTCCCCACAAAACATAGGTACTAGTTTGACGCAAAAATCGTACACTAATCACAAAATCATCATTATCCTCTTTGAGAATATAAGTGTGTGTGTGTATATATAAGTGGAGGGACAGATGTATGGGGGAGATGTATTGCCTGCTAATTAGTTTGATACTTGTATTCTCGACAATGCTCTTGAATATTTTGTCTTCAATAAGGAATCTTTCACCATTCTGAAATGTCCGTATTTGGGTCGTACTCAACTCCAAACATGGACAGAAAAAAACTCCAAGGGTAATGTGAAACAGATGCTTTTACAGCTGACCTACACTCGTTAGGAAGGTAGATATAAAAAAAGTCAATTTATAAGACGATTATTATATTTTAAACCGGGGCGATTTTTGGACGAATGGCACTCCGTTATCAGTTAGGGGGCGCTCCGATATTGGAATAAAACCCATCGACGTGACTGAGACGAGTGGCAACATTTATCATTGCCATTCGCCCAAAATGTAAATCAGTGAAGCTGGGCGAGCCCCCATCTTCGCGAGGAGAGTAAAAACTCGATCAAAGGCCGTATGATTAAGCCTGCTTTTCAAAGGCACACGAAAGCCGAGAGCTCTTCGGGTAGAACACCCAATGTCGTTTCTCTTGTTTCTCGTCCTTCTCCAGGAATTGTTTCCTGGCTAAAAGCGATGCAGCGACAGCGCAGAAAATTAGAGCTGTTGAAAATAATCTTTCCACGTATCGATACAAAAAAAACTATCTTCCCACCAACAGATGAACGATGCACTTGATGGAGCAATGTGCTACCATTATTTATACAACATTTTAAAAAACTATAACTATATACAGCAAAAGCTCTGTTATCCGGCAATTTACCATCCATAATGCTCTATTAATCGGTATCTGTCATAGACGGCAATACAAATGTTCCTTCACGTATCCGGAAAAAATCCAACAGCCATCCGGCATCTTACTGTGTGCTTCTCATAGACCTGCTTGTTATACACAGGGGATGACAGCTTTCTTTGGAGCCTAGTCTCATATGATGTTCGTCATCTGGTCGAACACCATATGAGACTAGGCTCTAAAGAAAGCTGTCTCTGGTGTGGACCAATCAGTTTCAAAGACAATGCATAAATTATCAGAGTATTGTTTTTTATTTGCATTTGACTGCAAGAATTGTGGTTAATGTAAGCATGATTCCTTGCAAAAGGTGTCAGTTTTGTTGCCAGAAAAAAGGGGAAAACCCCTATTAGTAGTAGAGATGTTGCTGTGCCTATCTACCGATAATCCTGCATAAAGACTATCACGCTACCTACAACATACCTATCAATCTACCTTCAACACACCTATCACTCTACCTACAACACACCTATCACTCTACCTACAACATACCCATTACTCTACCTACAACACACCTATCAAGCTACCTCAACATACCTACAACATACCTATCACTCTGCCTACAACATACCTATCACTCTGCCTACAACATGCCTATCACTCTGCCTACAACATACCTATCTCCCTGGCAATCTACAAAATCCATCTGCCAGCTGGGAGTGGAGCAATCCCCTCCCCCGCACCCCCGTGATTATTCAGTGAATTGTCACGATAATTCAGGATTGCGATTCGAGGATCAATTCAGAAAAGCAAACCTAAATACCTGCTCACCCACCTCTCATAATACCCCCACCCAATGCAATAAAGATTCGTGGATGTCGGGGGCATTTGATCCGGCTTGAGTAGCTAACCCGATATGAACTTCATAATCACAAGAACTTAAATGCAAAACAAATACAAAATGCGTGATTAACATATAACAGATTATAACATGCGACGCGATCTGCATTAACATGGCATCCAAATTCCACCGCACTTCTTTACGTAGTGTGGGACGTGCTTTAGGGGAGGAAGCGGTAAGAATCCGTGGGTGCCCGCTCACCCATGCGCATTCTGGTTTGCACCTTGTATCGCCGCTTGGCATGCTGTCCGCCGTTCCGCCACCACGCGCAGGGAGCTCCTTCAAGGAAACGAATTTAATTGCGTGGAAGCAAAACGGCAGTGACTTCGTGCCGAACAAAACGCGGTACAACCAGAAAACACATCGGAGATCTGCACAGCAAAAACGGCGGAAACCCACGCATGGGGAGTGGGAAGTGACCTGCACTGCTAATAAGGAACCCACCGCTGCAACCACCACAATTACTATTATATTAGAAGGTAAGGCCCACTGAGCTACATAGCTCTTTTTCACAAGCGAACCTGGCCACAAATGATAGCTGAAATTTACAGCAGCCAAATACTCTAAATGCATGTTAATTCTAAATGTGGAGGGAAAAAACTACAGGACCCGGACAAAAATCCACGCAACATACTAAGGGGAGATAGTCACGCAAACTCCAAATATACAGCAGGCGTCAGGGTCGGGATCGAACCCGAGACCTCCTGCATGCCAATTGAGGTAGTCAACATCTCCCCACCACAGGTGACGCTGCACCGGAGGGACAGCACCGAGGACTTTGGCTTCAGCGTGTCGGACGGGTTGCTGGAGAAGGGCGTGTTCGTGACGTCCGTGCGGCTTGGCGGGCCCGCCGAGAGGGATGGCCTCAGGCCCTTCGACAGGATCGTGGAGGTGCGCCCGATCGCCGTGCACACCGGCCTCCGAGCCGCGCGGCACAACAGCACACATGCAGGGCGGGTCGAGGACGAGCGGGGACTTTTTTGCCCGCGCCCACCTGCCTTTCCCACGGATTAATGGTTTGCGCCTCACTGGACTTGCAGATCCGGAGGTCGCCAGTTTAATGTGACCTCCCAGGCGAGGCAGTTGAAATAATGGGGCAGGTTTATTAAATCCCACCGCCCTCTGTGCACACAGCAGTGTAAAATGGGTACACGCCACAGCGAGTCGATTGGCAGGTTGCGTGGCAGGTTGCCTGTACCTCTGATTAGCACGGTTGGCAATGTACGGAGCGAAAGAAGTTCAACATACGTACGTGTAGTGCAGTAAAATTTAGGTACTCCCACCTCTTCGAAGACATCTGGCCAGCGTTGAAGAGTAGGCCAAATAACTTGTCAAATTTGGATTACTTTTCAACGTAACCGGTTTACTGAAGGAAAAAACGTAATTGCCTCATGTCCACGTGACAACTTGATTTGTTGGCCGTGTCGGGCGGTGGAGAGTTATAGCTCCAATTTTTAGTCTTTAAGTTTTTTTTCATTTGACATTGTACCTCCACGATCTAACCTCCCCCTCCCCCCTCCCAAAAAAACAATTACTAATCAAGTAACCTCTTCAGGGGGTTCTCGAGCTCCCTCCAGTGAGAGGCCATTCTGCTAGGAGTGGCGTGAGCGAGCACTTGCAGGAGCTGCGCATTGACCTTTGTAGTTACAGTGACGGAAAAAAGTATTTGATCCCCTGCTGATTTTGTACGTTTGCCCACTGACAAATAAATGATCAGTCTATAATTTTAATGGTAGGTTTATTTGAACAGTGAGAGCCAGAATAACAACAAAATCCAGAAAAACGCATGTCAAAAATGTTATAAATTGATTTGCATTTAATGAGGGAAACAAGTATTTGACCCCTCTGCAAAACATGACTTAGCACTTGGTGGCAAAACCCTTGTTGGCAATCACAGAGGTCAGACGTTTTTTGTAGTTGGCCACCAGGTTTGCACACATCTCAGGAGGGATTTTGTCCCACTCCTCTTTGCAGATCTTCTCCAAGTCATTAAGGTTTCGAGGCTGACGTTTGGCAAATCGAACCTTTAGCTCCCTCCACAGATTTTCTATGGGATTAAGGTCTGGAGACTGGCTAGGCCACTCCAGGACCTTAATGTGCTTCTTCTTGAACCACTCCTTTGTTGCCTTGGTCGTGTGTTTTGGGTCATTGTCATGCTGGAATACCCATCCACGACCCATTTTCAATGCCCTGGCTGAGGGAAGGAGGTTTTCACCCAAGATTTGACGGTAAATGGCCCCGTCCATCGTCCCTTTGATGCGGTGAAGTTGTCCTGTCCCATTAGCAGAAAAACACCCCCAAAGCATAATGTTTCCACCTCCATGTTTGACGGTGGGGATGGTGTTCTTGGGGTCATAGGCAGCATTCCTCCTCCTCCAAACACGGCGAGTTGAGTTGATGCCAAAGAGCTCCATTTTGGTCTCATCTGACTACAACACTTTCACCCAGTTGTCCTCTGAATCATTCAGATGTTCATTGGCAAACTTCAGACGGGCATGTATATGTGCTTTCTTGAGCAGTGGTACATTGCGGGCACTGCAGGATTTCAGTCCTTCACGGCGTAGTGTGTTACCAACTGTTTTCTTGGTGACTATGGTCCCAGCTGCCTTGAGATCATTGACAAGATCCTCCCGTGTAGTTCTGGGCTGATTCCTCACCGTTCTCAGGATCATTGCAACTCCACGAGGTGAGATCTTGCATGGAGCCCCAGGCCGAGGGAGATTGACAGTTCTTTTGTGTTTCTTCCATTTGCGAATAATCGCACCAACTGTTGTCACCTTCACACCAAGCTGCTTGGCGATGGTCTTGTAGCCCATTCCAGCCTTGTGTAGGTCTACAATCTTGTCCCTGACATCCTTGGAGAGCTCTTTGGTCTTGGCCATGGTGGAGAGTTTGGAATCTGATTGATTCTGTGAACAGGTGTCTTTTATACAGGTGTAGTAAGTTGCAGGAGGCTCGGACGACGTAGTTGGAGGCACACTTATTTATTAATACCAACTTATGTACAGCAACAGGAATACACAGCACTTGAAGGGGTGTCGGCCCCTTCACCCGTCTAACAGGGAGACCCAATGTCTAACCTCGCTAACCTACGCCCGGGTCCTCCACTATGGAGCTAGGGGAGGCTACCTATCCCAGCCCTGGTCAAGCTGGGATCCCGGCACCCTGAGTCTCCAGACCGGCTCTTATAAGAACGTCAGTCTGGGCTCTCGGGGCCACGCCACCGGCTTTCACTAGTCGGTCCTGACAAGGACAGCGAGCCAGGGGAGCTCTGGGGCCTATTCTAGCTGGTCTTCACTCTTCGCTGGTTTAAGCTAACACTCGACCTCGAACCCTCCGGCTCACCACCTTTTATAGCAATCGGCCCCCGGGGAGGGGCCGTGGGGGATGCAGTTGCGGACGTCGGTGTGAGCACCTCCTCTGTGTACGGCCCTAACCACGCCCCTTGTGTTTGTTACCCATCCGTGCCCATACATCTTTACAATTACACCTCTACATCACCCCCCCTGTACAGCCCGCAGCCGTCCCCGGCTGCAACAAAATTTCAATAAAGGTGCATCCCCCCCAAATCCGTGTGTGCCTCGCGTAATTTTAACAAGAACAACAACAATAACAACAATAACAACAGGAAAGAGAAAAATAACCCGACGCACCCCCCCTGAATAAATACCCCGTCCCATAAAACCAACATATATACACGTACCCAGGACGCTCCCCCCCCCTTTCGCAAGGGCCCCCCAACGGCCGACCTCACAAAAGTCTGCGCGTTTTGGCGCGCGTTCTTGCGGTGGGCCCGTCACAAGGGGCAGCCCCGGCTTGCCCAGTGGCGGGTGTCGACAGTCCGGGTGTGAGAGTGTCTGGCTTCGCTGCTGAGCGACATCCGACCCCCCCGGGAGGGGTTGGCGGTCGTGGGCACGTCACTCCTGGTGCACCTGGAGGTGGAACAGTCGGTGTCAGGTTAGGCGAAAGCAGCGGAGTCGGGGAGTCGGCGGACCCCTCACACGTTTGGCCACGCGTGTGTGTTAGGGAACACGGGGCGGCGTAATGAACGGTTTCAACCTGGAGGGGTGCACGTACCACCGACGCTTCCCCCACTTGACGCGTACACATTGCGGCCGCAAGACCTGTATGACCTCAACGGGCCCCCGCCACGGCCGTACCAGCTTCGACGAGGTCGCCAGTGGCACCTGGGGACAGTGCAACCATGCCCTGTCCCCCGGTTTCCATTGGAGCACATGTGCCCGCCCCAGCCTAAGCCTCTCATTCGCCCTTTGGCGGTGTTCAGAATTTTGCATGGCCGCTTCCCGCGCCTCCGTTAATTTCCCGATGTTAAATTTAACGTGGTCGGACAATTTCGAGTTTGCCTGCGGCGTCGAGAGCTTCAGCTGAGTCGCCACAGGCGGGTTAGCCTCGCGGCCATACATTAAGAAGAAAGGTGAAAATCCGGTGGCCGCATGGGGAGCCATCCTGTAGGCTTGCAAAACACCCGCAATGTGAAAGTCCCAATCGGTCTGGGATTCCGATACCTGCTGGGACAGCATGGATGTGATAGTCCGATGCAGCCGTTCCACCATCCTGTCAGTTTGTGGGTGATATGGGGAGGTTCGAATTTTCTCCGTACCCAAGAGGTCGCACACCTCGCAGAGGAGTTTCCCCGAAAAATGTTTACCCTGGTCGGTCAGAAGCCGTTCCGGAGCACCTTTGTCGAGGACGTAGCCCTGGACAAAGGCCTCCGCGACGGCTGCTGCCGACTGGTTGGCCAGGGGCCAGACCATGGGCCATCTCATGAAGTATTCGACCCCTGTCAATAAGTACCTATTTCCCCTAGGTGTAGCGGGAAATGGCCCGAGAATATCCAGTGCAACGAGCTCGTTAATCCGGGAAACCTTTATCGACTGCAGCGGAGGGTTGGACCCCCTCGCCGGTGGCTTCCGCTGCGCGCATTGAGTGCACGACCCCAGGAGATCCCCCACGTCCTTTGCCATGCCCGGCCAGAAGAAATCGAGCTGGAGCATGGCAAGGGTCTTGTGAGTCCCCAGGTGAAGGAGCCGCTCATGCGCAGCCCACACCACTTTACCCCTCAATGCTGAAGGCACCACCAGCCGTTGGCGGCGGCATCTCCCATCCCAGTGCATTAAAAGCCCCTAGAACAACCCCCACGAGTCAACGTTTGCCGCCCCCTGACCAACCCCCCCGATGCGACGGCGCAAAGCGAGGAGGGAGGTGTCCTCCATTTGGAGGCGTCCCCACTCCGCAATGGACAACCCCAGCAAGGCATCCCTCCCTTCTTGCTCGATAGGACCCGAAGTTGAAGGCGCATCAGCGGCGGCCACAAAGACCGAATCAGCGATCACGTTCGGAGGCCTACAACGCCCCGAACCCAAGAGGCAAGCGCACTCTGAAGTGGGCGGCAACCGTGACAGAGCGTCAGCGTTCGTGTGGCGGACACCCTTACGATATGTAGTGACAAAATCGTAGTCTTGGAGAATCTCCAACCATCGAGACAACTGTCCCGATGGTTGTTGAATCCGCAAGGCGTACTCCAGCGCCGCATGATCTGTACGGACGGTGAAACGTCGACCGTACAGATATGGGCGGTACTGCTGAATGAAATAAACGATCGCCAATAGTTCACGACGGGTAACGCAGTACCGTTGTTCCGCCGGAGACAACACCCGACTACCGTAAGCCACCACATGCTCTACGCCACCAATGAGCTGCGACAGCACGCCCCCAATGCCCGTGTTACTTGCGTCTGTATCGAGCAAGAAGGGTTGTGAGAAATCGGGATAATTCAACGGCGGAGCCCCCACCAGGGCATCCCGGAGGGAGCGAAAAGCAGCCTCCTCATCCGGTCCCCAACGAAACTTGACTCCCTTGGACGTCAAGGC